CAAGAAAACTTCTTGTTATCAATGGAAATAGATACCTCAAGGAGGAATCTACTTTTGTTTTTGTTAGAGGACAACTCCATCACACCTAAGATCTGTCCCCTTAAGGTTCTTAGGTGCGGAAGTTTTCCGGACGCACTTGACAATTAGTTATCATATGTCCCTTTCTACCGCAATATAGGCATAACCCCTCCCTTCTCCTATACTGTTTTTCGGCCTCTGACAGTCTAGTGACCCCCAACTGCATAGGTTCGGGTCTAGTATAGTCTCTGAGAGACCCTTTTTGAATGCTGAGATTAACCCATTGTTAGTCCAGTCTACCTCGGAAGCTAAGGTACGGAATTCAATAGCATAATCCGAGATAGACCGGTTACCTTGTCTGATGTGCATTAGGGCAGTGGAGGCGTCATCCTCTCTACCCAATGGCTCAAACGTGAGCTTGAATTCGGCAAGGAATTCCTGGTAATTATGAGCTATGCTCCGATTACTCTCCCACAACGGATTAGCCCAGGCAAGGGCCTTGCCCTTTAATTGATTCATTAGATAACCAATTCTTGCTCTGTCCGTGGGGAATGACCCTGGTGAGGCCTCAAAATGGTACTCCACCTGATTAAGAAAACCCCTGCATTCCTGGATATTGCCATCAAACTGTAGGGATGGTGATAAGGAGATGCAAGGAGTCCTATTAACAGTGGGTGGAGGTACACAGGGTAGAGGTGCTATAGGAGGAGACGCTGCAGGCTGCAGATGCTCCGTTCTAGCGAGAAGCGTACTTAAAGCCTGAGTGAATTGATCCATGCGGTGATCATTCTCCTCTAATTTCCTCTCGCAAGCAGCTATGTGCTGACACAGTTCTACAGGATCTATGGCCATGTCGTAATGTCAGGATTACTGTTTGATCCAGCACGTAGAACTGTACAGCACGGATGACAAATAAGTAACGTATTACCGGTCCTTAGAATGGCCGGATTTAACGTACAAAGAATAGTCAAAAATACTAGCCGAGGTCAGGGAACACAGAAAGGGACACAGCGATGAGGAAAGCCAGGAGTCAGGATACCAGAATATAGAGAAGTCAATAAACAAAGCCAAAGTCAAAAACCAGGTAGAAAACTATAAACAGGAACGCGCTCTCAGACAACCACAAGGGAAACCACGACAGGGCACTGAGCAGGCTGAGAACTGGGCCTAAATACCCCTCCTTTAGTTCTGATAGGCTGTAACCGGCCTTTGACCCCAAAGTCAGTTACCAGGTTTCATTTGCATAATTGCTGCTCAGCATTAACCCTTCTGTGGATTAGGTTGCTGCTCGGCACAACTTTTCCTGTGTGGACAGTAAATGTCATTAACCACATTTCTATAAGTGGATGAATATGTGACATTAATATCTAGTAATTCCAGGTGTAATCCTAGGCTCTCTTGCCAAGCTATGCCGGGCCTACCATGAAACTCAGGACATAACGTCACAGGGGGCTTCAGCTTACCACCCCTGTGTAATACTTATCGTATAACGTGTGCATAGCATTGCATCTTTTCCTTTTGTTTATTTTCTTTACTTTGTTGCGATTCTGTGCATATATTTGTACTGCTCGTGTTTAATTACTGCTTACAAATGAAAATAAAAATTCTGGGAGAGGTAGTTTATCCCCGGAGAACATTTCCAGCCATCACATGGGATGGGTAAAACTGCTCTAATGACTGACGACAGTTATACCACAGCTGTTATCAGTTTATTTATTGAAACTATCAGCGCTCATGCTACACACATACACTAACACTAATCAGTCACAAAACTACAACCACTGATAGGTGATGTAAATAACATTGATTATATTGTTACAATGACACCTGTCAATAGGTTCTTGAATTTCATGTGTTGGAAGCAGGAACAACGGGCAAGTGAAAGATCTGAGAGAGCTTGACAAGGGCCAAATCGTGATGCCTATACGACTGTGTCAGAGCATTTCCAAAACGGCAAGTCTTGTAGGGTGTTCCCGGTATGCAGGGGTTAGTAACTACCAAAAGTGGTGCAAGGAAAGACAACTGGTGAACTGGCCTCGAAGTCATGGATGCCTATGGCAAATTGATGCGAGTGGTTGTCGCTGTCTTGTCCAATCACACAGAAGAGCTACTGTAGCTGGCCATGATAGAAAGCTGTCAGAACACAGTGCTTCGCAGTTTGATGCATATCGGACTGTGTAGCCACAGAACCGTCAGAGTGCCCATGAACCCCTATCCACTGCCGAGAGCGCCTTCAATGGGGATGTCAGCGTTAGAACTGGACCATGCAAGAATGGAAGAACGCTGCCTGGTTTGATAAATCATCTTTTCTTTTAGATCAGGGGTGCATGTGTTTAGTGGTGTACTGTGACTGTGTATGTGATTGTCTGCCTGTGACTGTGTGTGTCTGTGACTGTGTGTGTGACTTTCTGCCTGTGCCTCTCTGTGTGACTGTCTGTCTGTTACTGTGTGTGTGACTGTCTACCTGTGACTGTGTGTGACTGTCTGTCTGTGACTCTGTGTGTGACTTTCTGCTTGTGCCTCTGTGTGTGACTGTCTGCCTATGACTGTGTGCGACTGTCTGCATGTCACTGAGTGTGTGTGTGTGACTGTCTGCCTGTGACTGTGTGATGCTGCCTGTAACTGTGTTACAGTCTGCCTGTAATTGTAGGTGTGACTGCCTGTAACTGTGTGCTTGACTGTCTGCCTGTAACTGTGTGTTTGTTTGTCTGTGTGTGAGTGACTATGTGTCTGGGACTGTGTTTGACAGTATATGTGTATAACTGTGTGCATATTACTGTGTCTGACTGTCTTCGTCCTGCAGTGAACCGGCAGCCGGGATATGATGTCATCCCAGCATCAACGTCATTACAGGGCGCGCAAGGGACCTGTGCAGGAAGAGCACGGAGATCCCAGCAGCAACCACTGATCACCAGGGACCGAAGATCCACTCCAGCTCTCCCGGAGGAAGGTAGGTAGGCTGGGTGGACCTCTTAATAATGAAATGTGTGTATGTATGTATGTGATGTTTGTGTGTGCATGTCTAATTATGTGTATATGTGATTGTGTGTCTGTGATTGTATTTGTGTGGGTCCATGATTGTGTTTGTGTATGTATTGTGTGTGTGTGTGTAGATCTGTTATTGTGTTATTGTGTGTGTATATATAAATGTGTATGTGTTTAGTAGATAGCTCCCTTATTTGGTGTCCTTAAATATTGCAATCTCATATAAGGATAACAAATAAGTGAGTTATCTACTAAACAATTGAAAGATTAAAATTAAAAGGGTTTTTTTTTTTTTTTTACCCTTTAGCTGTTTAGTAGATAATTCCCTAAATTGGTGCCTTTATGTGAGATTTCCATATTTAAAGATACTAAATTAGGGTGCTGTTTATCAGATAGCTCCCTTATTTGGTGTCCTTAAATATGGCAATCCCACATAAGGATAGCAAATAGGGGAGTTATCTGATAAACAAAGATCGAAGTTAAGAGGTGTCAGCCAGCCCACAACAATAAATCTAGGTGGCTAATGTGAAGTATATGCAAATATGTTGCCTGATGCTCATCAGACAGCCAATGGCAGCACATTACCCCACCCCCTAGTGAAAATTATGAATGCACCCCCAGTTTTGAATGTGATATCTTATGTGCCCCCTCCTATATATTGTTCCTAGAGTCACCATTGTGTGTCTGTGTATCTGTGTGTGACTGTGTATCTGCATGTGTGTCAGTGTGTGTATGTATATACACACACATCCCAGAATCTCGTCAACACTACACATAAATACTCCTGCATTTCAACATCAACACTTCATACAAACCCAAACATTATATATATAACCACACCACTGCATTAAACACACTACACATAAATGCATGCTTGCATTCAAACACCAATACTACATTCACTCACACATACTCCATACAAAACCATGCTTACATATAAAAAAAAAAAACACTGCTCAGTGCTAAATACATTAGAAACATTTGCAGTTGATTTTTACATTTTAAAGTTGGGGGGAGGGCAGGGGGGTTCCAATTGCTCTAGGTACGCCCCTGTGTGTGTCATTTGTCTGGGGAAGAGATGACATCAGGATGCACTAAGACAGGCCGTTGGAGGCAGTGTTAAGTTTTGGGCAACGTTCTGCTGGAAAACCTTGGGTCCTAGCATTCACGTGGATGTTACTTTGACACGTACCACCTACCTAGAGATACAGACCACGTACACCCTTTCACGTTAATGGTGTTCCCTGATGACAGTGGCCTCTTTCAGCAGGATAATGCACCATACCACAATGCAAAAATTGTACAGGAATGGTTTGAGGAACATGACAAAGTGTTCAAGGTGTTGCCAATTGAGCATCTGTGGAATGTTCTGGAACAACGAATCCGATCCATGGAGGCCCCACCTCGCAACTTGCAGGACTTAAAGGACTTGCTGCTGTTTTGGTGACAGCTACCACAGACCATGTTCACAAGTCTTCTGGAGTCCATGCACCAACACATCAGAGCTCTTTTGCCTGCTTGAAGGGGCCCTACACAATATTAGGCAGGTAGTTTTAATGTTGTGACTTAGTGTACAAATTGTATATAATTAACACAGACAGTCTGGAACAGAAAATTCGGGCTATCTCAATGTCAGCTCTCTTTTTTTCTCCTGAGTAAAAATGATTTTCCACAAGATTGTAACATTGGCCATTATTAAACTTGATTGTCACTGTTTTTCGATGTTCTTTCTCTTACAGCAATCGGATCTCTATTTGGAGTTCAATATCACTTTCTATTCCATATTTTGCAGAAGGCAGCTGACTCTTCTCCCTGATGAAGCACTTTGTCTATTGCTGTCTACTACATACAGCATTCCAGATAGAATTTTGGGAGGATGAACTCTTACATGTTGCTGAGCCAGCAATGAAAAAGGATGATTCAGGCTCTGTTTTACGTCTTATTATCCTTTGTAAAGATAATGTCTAAAATATCCATACACAAATATCGCTAAGATAAAAAAAAAAAAATTATCATCAAGTTACTGTTAATGCTAGAGTTCAATAGTTTGAGATTTATTTTAATCATGGAGATGAAATACTAGACAGTACAGGCTAGATCTGTGTCCAATGTTACAACCTTCAAATCAATTCAGCTCCTTGATTGAAATATATATTCACTAAACAGTGATCGGAGGTTAACTGAAAAATGTATCACAAAACCGAAGGTAAAATAGACGTGCTAAAACATTTTTTTACAAAATTTAATTCAACTCAATTTTTCAGCTTAAAGGAAAAACCACTAAACTCACCCAGGTAACTTCATCTCATTCATGAATTGTCCTGGGTGTTGCGGTCATATCAATTTAACATTTCAAGGTAAAACATTAACGTCTGTATGGTCTAATTCTGGTCTATGGGGGTCTCACCAGCGATATTAATGCATTTACTCCTCTACAGCAGTGGTTTATCCTCCAGCAGCAGTTCCAAAATTAGAACTGTGCTGCAAAAAGGATAGCAGCCACTGTCCGTTCATAGAAAATTAGGCACAAAGCATGTGTGCAGTGGTTGAACACTCTCTGGGGAGACAGATCAGTCCGTGCGTGCTTTATGCTGTGTACACAATTTGGACAAAGTTGACACAGGCAGCCTGTAATAGAGTTTGTTCTGCATGGCAGAGCTCTGGTGGACCATTTTACAGCTACATGGATTTTTATTTTTTTTACATATTTCTGCCGTTATTTACCATAAACTTTGCAGTCGTGTTTAGAAAGAACCTTTAAACCAGAATAAACCTCTACTTCTTAAAGATACAATGGAATGGTGTACCTTTTATCTATGTTCCTAAAATACCAGATCATTTGGTGTAGTGGACAGATTTAAATTGTGTAACTCCAGATATTGATTAGTACTATAACGTGATTGACGCAGTGGGTGTGGTCAGCAATTCTTCTTTGTGCACAAAAATATCTAATGCCCATCTCTCTTACACCATGTTAGTTATCACAGGCAGCGGCAAAAATATATCAAGAGTAAGTGGAGTGAAAATTTACATTTACTGTCAAATTTTATTTTTAGAAGAAAAATAACCAAGAAAAATGGATTGAAACCAGTCTTTATTTCTAAACTTTGACATAGTCAAATGAAAACTATATAACTTTAATATTTTTTAATTTTATTAAATAAAAGGTTTTTTTTTGTTTTTTTTAACGCATAGAGCAACATAATGCAGATTGAAGTAAATCGAATGGAGGTGTGAGTTCAAGGCATGCTGGGAAATTGACGTTAAGATGGCTGCCATCCTTCAGTTATCACAGTACTGTACCTTTAGAATTGACAGCAGCAGCACTGTGATAACTGAGCCAGGGTAGCCTGTCAGTCATCGTTTTTATGCGGTAAATCATGATCCGATGTCTATTGAAGACTTTCACGGTGGTTTCCTGTTGATGAAGGAGGAGAGATGTGAATTAGAAATCCCTATGTTTTAAACACAATCACAGTTTTTTAGAGAAGTGTCAGATATGTTTAATTTTAGACCATAAAAGGGCCGCCATCTGGAATGGGTGGGTGGTGGAAACAACTATTCATTTAAGGAGCCCGGCAAGACTATATATATGGAGGTGTGGGTGCATGTGTAAATATACACAGCAAGTACATGTATGTATTCCCAACGCATAGTATTCTTTTTAGAATTTCTCCACTGTGGATATTGAGGCTTGACTTACCTGAAGTTCTTCCTTGCAGCAGCTGCAATCTCCATCTAGGAGACCATCGTCATTTCCTGACACTCCAGCTGCCAGGATCCGTGTTAGTGCTGCACTCAGTGTACATGCAGGTCTGTGGACAATCCTATGAGCAGATTTAATCCCGCAGCTCTCACTTGTAACATTTGCTGGGATTGGACAAAAGCTGCCTGCGGAGCTCTGCCTTTTGTTCCTACTTTGTCTTATGGAATCTTTGGACTGTGTTGGAATTAGATTATATGATTCTATGAGAAATTTGCACTCTTATAATTAAAGGGACACTATAGTCACTAGAACAACTACAGCTTATTCTATTTGTTATGTTGAGGAGACTCATTCCCTTCAGGCTTTTAGCAGTAAACACGGTTTGTTTAAGAGAAACTGCAGCGTTTACATTACAGCCTAGGATACCTCCACTGGCCACTCCTCAGATAGCTGCTAGAGGTGCTTCCTGGGTCAGTGCTGCACACCGTGCCTCCACCCGCTGCATGGAGACACTTAAACTTTCCTCGTAGACGTGCACTGATTCAATGCATCTCTATGAGGAGATGCTGATTGGCAAGGGTGGCGTTTGGCTTCTCCCCCAGCCCGCCTGCCTAGCTGAGATCATCAGAATTGACGATCATCTGATGGGAAAGCATTGTGATTGGCTGAGATCATTACTTCTGATGATGTCAGCCAAGGAGGCATATCAGGGGCAGAGCCAGCACCAGCAGACTGGAATAAAGGTAAGATTTTTACTATTTAGGGAGGACAAGAGGAAGCCGGGGGGCTAGATACTGTTTTTAACATAGGGTCAGGAATACAGGTTTGTGTTCCTGACCCTATAATGTTCCTTTAAAACAATGAAAACAGACATGAAGGTTTGCTTCTGGCTTCCGCTTGCTCCCATGAGCCAACGAAAGTGTCAAGCATTCTCTACTTGAGTGCACCTGTCTACCACTGCATAACTCCTCTCAGACCTCGGAGGAGACCACAATTCATTTGAAATGCCATGATGTGTGTGCGGGAGGAGGCGTGAGCACATAGGGAAGAATCAAAAAAGCGATTTTAACATTTATTCCCAATGAATACATGCATGAAAAATGCATGCATATATTCACTGGGGGGTATGTCAAGTAAACCTTGATATTTTATTTTAGTAATTTGCCGTATGAAGTGTTCCTTTAAACTAGTTTGATACAGGAGCAAGGACAAGCTATTTGAGTTGCTGTCCGCTCCCAGCTTTCTCCGTTTCAATCTGTTTAATACCATTCCCAGCGTTGCTGACGTCAATACATTTTGGGAGCGCTCTATACTGTCTGATTGCAGCATGAGAGTGAGGACTCACCCTCTGCAGATCACATTGTGATCAGTGCTGGGCAGCTGGCATAGGGGAGCATGCACCGCGGTCTTTTCAGACATCAGGTGTCTTGATGTGTGTGGGAAATCACCCAGCAACAGTGATTTAAACTAACTATACACAGCAATCACTTTGAGCGCTACATAGAAACATAGAATAGAAAAGGGACACAAAACAGCCTATCAAATATTAAACATAGAAACATAGAATGTGACGGCAGATAAGAACCATTCGGCCCATCTAGTCTGCCCAATTTTCTAAATACTTTCA